TCTTCTTCATCACCTACAATAAATATTAACCAAATTGTGTTATTATCAATCAAATATATGTATATGTGTGTGTGTGTAAGATAATCAGGCTTATCAGAGCTTGGAGGATTGCCGGGGCTTAAGCCTCTTTTCACAGGGTTTATTAGGGCCAGACTCTCAAGCTTGGTTCATTTTAAAAAGATAATTTTTAAAATCTAAACCTTTTATTTAAATAGTACTTTTAAGCCCGGCCCTCCAAATTTGACCCTTATTCCTGACTCTAAAGGCTGGCTAATATGCAAAAAGGAAATGGTAGAAGATGAACAAATGCTACCACACATGATAACCATCCAGCGTGTAACTTGGTTTTTGCTTTAGTTGGTTTTCATTTTCATAATCATCTTCATCATCACCCGTGTACTCATATTACCTAACCAAGTAATTTTTGAGACTTTTGATACGTCTGTGTAAGAAGGCTTTGCACCACAACATATTTTGTCTGTGACAACAGCCAACAATCATTGCAACAGGGTGCAAAACCATTGCATATAGGCATAGGCAACAGTTTTTGGACATGAAACTTGCCCTTATTACTTATATTCTAAGGTAATAGTTTTTTCATATTTAAATTACAAATCATAAAATCGTTGCCTAGAGGGATGGAGGTTGGTAGAGTTGGAAATACGAGCAGGCCCAGTCTTTAAAGGCCTAAGCCCTTAAGCCTGGTTCTTTATTTTTACTTCCCTTTTTGAGGCCTGGCCCTTATATAAAGAGTTCAGGGTCGGGCTTGAAAGCCCCATTCAAACAAAGTAAAAAAATAAATTAAATTAAAATTTTAAAATTAATTAAAATATTTTGAAATTGAAAAAAAAATAAAATCCTCACAATTTTTTAAAAATTAACCAACATATTTAGAAATCTAAACAACATACAATCATCAATCAAAACTCAAATCCTCCCCATTCTCATCATCTCCACAAATAAAATATTAGATCCCTTAAGTATATGTGCACTTACTAAAAATAGAGGCGAAGATTCAATGTCAATTACCTTTACAATTTTTTCTTCATCATCTACAATAAATATTAATCAAATTGTATCATTGTCAATTAAGTGTGTGTGTGTGTGTGAGATAACTAGGCTTATTGAGGTTTGGAGGGCCACTCAGGCCTGAGCCCTTTTTCACAAGACTTATTAGGGCTCGGCTCTCAAGTTCGGTTCCTTTAAAAAAAATAATTTTTAAAGCTCAAATTCTTATCCAAACAAGGTCTCTAAGTTGGGCCTTTTAGGCTTGGCCTTTTTTTCCGACTCTAAAAGCTGGTTAATATGGAAAAGGGATATGGTAGAAGACAAACAAACACTACCACATATGATTATTGTCTTGCATGTAACTTGGTTTCTGCTTTCGTTGGTTTTCATTTTCATAATCATCTTCATCATCACCCGTGTACTCATATTACCTACTCAAGTAATGTTTGAGATTTTTTATACATGTGTGTAATAAGGCTCTGTACCACAACATTTTTTGTCAGTGACAACAGCTAACAATCGTTGCAATAGGGTGCAAACCCATTGCATATAAGTATAGGCAACGATTTTTGGACATTAAACTTGCCCTTATTACTTATAGTATAAGGTAATGGGTTTTTCATGTTTAGATTACAAATCATAAAATCATTACCTAGAGTAAGATATTATATGTGTAATGGTTTTGGGGTGCTGAAATAAGCAACAGTTTTTACTTGTTGCCTATTATTTAAGTATAGCCATTGATTAGGAATTGTTGCAAAAATATTAAATAAATAAAATTTAATATTTTCTTCTTCACTTAGGATTGAACCCTACTCCACTTGCTTGAAATAATAAAATGACTCTAACCACTTTTCCAACATGATTTTTAATTATTATAATGCAAAATATTATATATATATATATATATATAATTGTCATACTAAATTTTAATTTTTCCTAATAAATAAATAAATAAGTAAAATAAATAAACAAAAAATATAGATAAGTTATAAAAAATAAAAAATAATTTTTTATTAATAGAAACACAATAGGCAATAATTTTTAAATGTTGTTAAAAAGAATATTTATAAGTAACATTTAATAGAGAACAATTTTAAAATGTTGTAATAGAAGTGTCGTTATAGAAAACAATACTTTATATTGCTTATTTAAAAAATTTTATTATAACACTTAAAAATTATTGCCTATTTTATTTTACGAAATAATTTTTAAATGTTGCTAGATATTTGTTACTTAAAGTATGTATCAATAGTAACACAAAAATATTGTTTATACCTATATTAGGCAACACTTTCAAAACTGTTGCCAAGAGTAAAAAATGTTACAATCTTTACTCGGTGTTTGTTTTTCTCCTTTATGCATGTGTATTTTTTTATTGAAAATAATTCTATAAAATATGGTCAGATATTAGATATAAACACGTCGATCTTTCTATGAAAACTTGTATCTTAGTCATCATGTTTGTTTGTAATATCTGTTTGAAACAATCCAATAAATTATACCTTTCATTATTTACATGTAATTACATTTACATCCCACGCCATGTGTGCCAATCAATTCATCCATTAATTTTAAAACTCATAAATGGATGACTAGTATGTGTTATATATGTCTAATTGTCAGTACGGCATCACCTAATTAACAGCACTCCCCTTCAATTATTATTTAGTCATGGAATTTCTCATCATTATCTGCTCTCTCGCGCGCGAGTTTGCTTGTCTACTTGGTGATATGAAATTTTTAAAAAATCAAGACGAGGACGATTCAAACTAAGGTGGAAAAATTTACATATATCAACTATATACATATGTATGTATGTTAATCTACTTGTGCAAAGACAGAAAAAGATCTAAAATTACAAGTTACATACAAATTGTACTAAAGGGCCTTGATACTTTGTAGGATTTCTGAGAGCAGGTTTTGAAATTGAAGGCTCTTAAATTTGTTGGGAATTCCTGCCTTACATAACACAGAAAAGTAAAGCGAAGAACTTGAAGTTATGTGTATAAAGAGGAAGTAAATAATGAAGATGGTGTCGAGAACCCCACACATTACGCACGCTTGACCAAAGAGAGGGACGTACAGCCTCCCTCGTCTCCCAATTCAAATGATGCTCTCTCCCATTTCCTGCTTTAATTGCCCCTCACATGCATTTTTGCTTTCCAAAGCACCAAACTAGCTCATCTCATTCATTTGTTTACTTAATCCAACCTACCCTTTAAAATAAATAATCCCTCTACCTATTTCATTATTTCAAACAAAATAAAACCTCTAAAACCACAGACAAGTACACGTCCTTTCTTTAAAAATAGATTCCACGCTCTGAGGAGTGCTAGATGCTCTTCTATGCCTAAGGCTAATAATTCCCACATGGTCCCAAATCAACTTTTCTGGTCTCTTCATGTTCATGGTCATGGACATAACACAAACAAAGCAAGTCTTGCTGCTTGCTGACTTGGTGGTGGAGCAATCCATCATAGTACTACCACTACTCCATCTTAGAGGTTTCTATTTGTACCTAATAAAGCACATTAGAATGGGCTCCAAAAATAAAAATCGCCCCCCCCCACTCAAATACTCACCGACTTGGGCGCACAGTTTTCCCGCTGTTTCTCTTGCTGGGGTATCTTCCAAGAACTCTCTCTCTCTCTCTCTCTCTCTCTCTCTCTCTCTCACACACACACACACACACACACAGAGGCCACTATGAAAGCTAACTAAACATGTTACCTCATTTCTTTGCGTTGGAAATCTCACAATCACAACCGGCTCTCTTCTTTGCCTTCCTTTGCACGCTAAGTTGGTTCTACATCGTCTCACGTGAATCAATTGGTGCATATATGTATATGTATGGAGGTTGCATAAACCTCAAGTTGATGTCTTTGCCTGCTCCTTCTTGGCCATCTCTTGAGAGGGCATGTACCTCTTAATTAAAACCCTATGAATAGCTAACCCATTTATCAAATACCTTTCAACTCGATGTTCTGCACGGTATCAAAAGTCAAAATCCTTACTATACATATATATGACTTCAGGATGCATGGTGAAGGAAACGTATGAGATCTGCTTTCTCTCCTTTTTCACATACTGTTTCTATATCTGACCCTGCACTGTTCTGAAACAAAATCCCATTCCAATCTTCATAATTAAATGCACAAAAAAAGATTTTTTTAGTCATTATTATTACTCTTGCGTGGATCTCATTGGGATCCTGAAGAACTGTTATACTGATACAATGAAGAGAAAAATGAAACCCATGTCACATGGTTCTTCTGTGAGTCTCACTTTTTTTTGGCCCGCTCTTTTCACACCCACTTTGTATTTTTCATTAATTAATTGCGCAAATCCAAATATTCATATTTGATGATGTAAACCTCACCCTGTTCTTTTGGGTCCAATAAAAGATGGATAGACTATAGAGGTAAAGTGTTATGATGTTGCAGCTAAAGGTGAGCAGCGAGCTGAATAGAGATGAAGCCATCACTGACGTGGACCGCAATAATTTATTGGGACAGAGACAGTGCCTTGTCAAGTAGACGAGTGATATGCATTGTGCACATTCTTATTTTTTCCAGGGAAGGAAAAGGCTCCCTAAAGAGAATTACCCAACTTGTGATTTTTGAATCTGATTCCACTTGAAACTGCAACAACACAAGAGAATCACATTTCTTTTAATTTATCTGTTTTTGTTGGCAAAAGAAAAGAAAAGCATCTCATCTCAAGTCAAGTGGTCAAAAATACACCTTCAAAATGAGGCCCATGTTCAAAACGAGGCCCACAATTCATGGGCTGAACCTAATTGTAAAATGTAACGGAAACTCATCTCTGAGCCGCCCAAATACTTCTGACTGTTGGCACTGCCAATCTCTGTGAGGCTTGATGCTGATTTGCATCTGTAAGCAATTGCATGGAATTGAAGTATTTTTAATTATTTGTGAATAATGTCGAAAATGACTTTTTCTCCCTTCAACTTTCAATTCCATTATCGGTTTTCCTCGAGAACGCCAGGAAAAAAGAAAAAGAAAAAGAAAAAGAAAAGAAAAGAAAATTACGAAAGAAAAGAGTCGTCAGGCTAAGTAAGAAAATTAAGGCTGCTGTAGGCCGTAGCGACGGAGGATTAGGAAGCGTCCGACATTGCTAGTAGGTTTGAAGTTTGGCATTCTATATCCGCGGACACAGTCCATAGTAAAGTAAACGAACCAAAGGACACAAAAGAAAAGGCGTTTACAGGAAATAAATTTCAGATCCAAACCATACAAAGGGAAGAGACTTAGAGATTTAGCTTTGAGTGTTCAAGAGAGGGAAACGAGGGACATGGAGGTCGAACTGAAAGAGTTGCTAGCTGATCTTCAATCTCTGAAGCAATCGCTTCCTGATCCATCTCTTCATGGTTCCCTCGATAAGGTATTTTCAACTTTCGCGCATTTTTCTTTTGTTCATCATCTGAATTGTGGTAATTTTCATTCGTTTAATTAGTCCTGTCGTTTTGCTTCAATGTTACTGTAAGCTGATTTCTGAATATTCGAGTTCTTGCTTAGCTCGTCATGGCATGCATATTGATTGGCCGTTATTGTTATTTGGTGATGAAAAATTGACTAGTTCGATTTCTGCGATGCTCATAAGAGACGCTGTTATGCTGCATTTTGTGATTGAATGGTCTATCGATTAATCCTCGTCCTTTTTTCTCACAATTGTAGTTTTCAGCTGGTTTTCTGATAAAATTAAGTCATAAAATCACTGAATTTAGGACTGGGAGAATTATACTACAGTAGTTCCGATAATATTTTTCTCTTTCGTGGAATTGCATAGTTTCGTTTAGTTTTAAATGGATATGTTAACTTATTCATTGGCTTAATTTCTATCTTATGTTTTTAAGATTCAATCCCGTGTTGAACATCTTGAAAATCTCGCAAAGGCTGCGCCTGTTCGACGATCCAAAGTTAAGGTATATGCTCGGGACACTCTTCTATGAGTCTGTCTTGGATGCATGTTGGTTATGAAGTTTTATTGATCCTTTGTCTTGTTATTGTATTGACAGGACATGAGTGCTGAAGTTGTAGACAGCAATCCTTACAGTCGGCTTATGGCGCTTCAGAGAATGGGTATTGTGGAGAACTACGAAAGAATACGGGAATTCTCTGTTGCCATTGTTGTATGTTCTAATATCTTCTTTCACTGCTAGTCGCTTTTAAACTGTTTGTACTCAGTGCATATTTATGTTCGTGTGGCCTTTTAGTGCATCTATCAATCTTGGAGAGGGAGAAACATTATTTTCCTAAGTCAACTGGATTCCTATTTTTCCTTGAATTAAGTATGTTTTCTCATGAATTTCTCTTGGAATCACCAAAACTTGAACAACAAAGAAAATTAACTGTAAATTTTAACTATGGGAGACATTTTGAAATAGCATAAATCTTTTTTTATTCATTGTGCGCGCGCGCGCGTGTTTTGTTTTGTTTTTTCTTTTTAGAGATTTGGGATTCTAATTCATGAATAATCTGGAACTAGATATTGAGGAAATCAAATAATTTTGTTCAACCTGTGATTTACTATTGTTGGTTGATATTTTATTTGTCTGAGATGGTTTATAGGTTTAAGATTTCATATCTTTCCCACGTGTGTGGAACTGTGGATTCATAGTCCTCTAACCTGCTTCATACATTCTCCAAGTCAGCTTATAATCTAAAAGATAGGGAGTAACACGTGAGAAATGTTATCAAAACGTGTGAAAAGGGTTTCCACAGACTTGGCAAAGTAGTATACAAGAGAAGGGAAATCTAGTATTTAGAATTTTGATCTTCAATATAGAAAATGGGCAATTCTCATAAAACTAAGCAAACCACTGATCCTGACTACTTTTTATTTTGCAGAAAGTCCCTTCCTTTCTTTGTCTCTCCTTTTTTTTATATCCTTTTTTACTGCCTGATTTTTTCTGTGCTGTGTAATAGATTCTGATTTTTTATCATTCACAAGATCACAGGGAATAGGTGGTGTGGGAAGTGTTGCAGCTGAGATGCTAACTAGATGTGGAATAGGTCGACTTTTGTTGTATGATTATGACAAAGTGGAACTCGCTAACATGAATAGGCTCTTCTTTCGTCCAGATCAGGCAAGTATCCAATCAGAATATAATATCTGATATATTTTTCATGTTATGAGCTTAGCCTATTGAAAGTCAGGCAGTAGTTTCATTGTGACTTTTATATTTATCTTTCTTTTGCTAACTAATTAATAGCATGACTTTGTGATAATAATAACTAGCCTTTAAATTAATGTACAATGTAAGATTTTATATGCTTAAACATGCAAGTGCTTCAAGAAATTCACTTAATGAAGATCATAAACTAATGTTATGTGTTTTAGCTTTACAGGTAGGTATGACAAAGACAGATGCGGCTGTACAGACACTTTCAGATATAAATCCTGATGTAGTGCTTGAGGTGAGTATATGCTCTGTAGCCTGAGGCTCATTGCACACATTAAGCTGTCTTTGAGCTGAAACTTCATCCACATTTTGATATGTGTTAGTGTATTTTCTTTTCTCGTTAATTGTTCCTCTTTCGTTTTTGTTTAGAGCTATACTATGAACATCACTACAGTCGAAGGTTTTGATATCTTTACGTCAAGTTTGAAAAATAAATCATTTCGCCCTGATAAACAAGGTCGTGGTGTGGACCTTGTGTTAAGTTGTGTGGATAATTATGAAGCCAGAATGGCTGTTAACCAGGTATTCATAACTTAAAGATGTGTATAGCATCAGTGAACACTTTTCCTTTTGCTTTGGGATTTTTATGTTTGACTGACAGCTGACTTATATAATCACTATGCAGGCTTGCAATGAACTGAGCCAGACATGGATTGAGTCAGGTGAACTAAAGGATTTTGTAGTGATAAAGTTGCTTGATTTAAAATAAAATTCTTAGAATTGACTCCATCGTCATTATCAGTAATATGAAATTAGTTACTGGTGTTACCTTGACATCTACAAAGGAATAATTTCTTGCATAAAAGTTCGGCATTGCAATTTTTTGTCCTTTGCAAATTTTTCCTAGGCATTCTGGAAGTATCCAAGACATGAAAAGTAGATAAAATGTATTTGGTTGGTGTATTTGTTATGACATGTTAGCATGTAATGTATTACTCTTTTCGATTCAAAATATAAGCAGTTTTTAGTAAAAATCCTCATGCCAGTAAAATCCTCATTCCCATAAAAGCATATTTTGTTTTCCATTTTTACTCCTAGTCCCAATTGTCAAGACACTCCATGATGAGTGAGAGATACACATACACAAATATCTAGGTTAATTAATACAAGGGATAAGATGGGGATTTTTTTTTATACGTACTAGGTTGCTTATATTTTGAACCAAAGTTCATTGAGGGGAAATGCATATATATTGAATCGGAGGAAATATAATTTATATGCTTATTGCTCATTTTGTAGAATCACATGTAAGCATATTCTGTCATCATTATCATGTACTGATTTGTCAGGGTAAACTTGCAATGCTAGATGAATGGACATTTTTATTTTTGGCTGAAACTTATGAATATAAAAATTTCAACAGGTGTGTCTGAGGATGCTGTGTCCGGTCATATTCAGTTACTTATTCCTGGTGAAACTGCCTGTTTTGCATGTGCACCTCCTCTGGTATGTCTGGCCCTTATTTGAATTCAGATTGTTATTCAACGTTGACAATAGGTGACCTTATAGTATTAAAATTTAGTTGAACCTGGGCACAAGTGTAGTTTCACTAGCTCATCAATTTGGTATCAATCGGTGGACTATGTAAATAAATACATTGATTCTTACTACATCCATCTTACAGTAACCACAGCTTGTACGAACATTTGAAGAATACAAATATGTTTTCCTTGTAGGTTGTGGCATCTGGGGTAGATGAGCGCACGCTCAAGCGTGAAGGCGTTTGTGCTGCATCTTTACCCACTACCATGGTAAAGTGTATTTCTATATAGCTTGCATTTGATGCTTTTCTTCCTCACAACAACAACAACAACAACTTAGTTTATTTTCGATAATTTCTCTTTCAACTGTAAGGAATCTGACGGCTTGTAGACATGAAATAAACAGAGCTTATCTTGGATTCATCTTATTTATTAATCTGTTTCCTTTTACTTAAAGGTGTCTGAACTGTTATACCATCTTTACCCTTTGGAGCCTTTTTGAATTTTATTTTTTTTATTATGCAGAACTTTTTGTCACTTTTATTTTGTTATTACACTAAAATTATTTGTTCTAATTTAATTTTTCAGGGAGTTGTAGCTGGGCTGCTTGTCCAAAATGCACTGAAATTCTTGTTAGGTTTTGGACAAGCCTCTCCGTATTTGGTAAATACCATAGTAATTCTACCTCTGTTCTTGCAAATCTGATAAAAAGCCGATATTCTTTCCTAACTTTGCTTGTCATTAGGGATATAATTCTCTAAAGGATTTTTTCCCAACCATGCAAATGAAGCCGAACCCTCACTGTTCCAATGGAGCTTGCTTGAAAAGACAGGTAATACGTATTAATGCTGCCCTTGTAGCTTGAATTTTTTTTTTTTTTGGGGCAATTGAAACGGCTAGCTGAAAGCTAGAAAAAGATACAAAATAGCAGAAAGTTAAACCTGTCTAGGCAGGGTATTACCCCTGTCTTTGTCATGTAATAGAAGATTAATACAATCACTGGTAATTTAATGTCGCTAGGAATATCCCTGTCAGGTATTACCCCTGCACTTTTTGCTTGAACTTGTTCTCATGAATCAACTCATTCCTAGGTTCTTCTGGTTATGCAACTCTGAACTTTATGCAGGAAGAATACGTTCTTGCAAAGCCAGCAAGGGATGCTGCAGCAAAAGCCAAAATGGAAGCTGAAGCACTCTCAACTGAGGAAGGCCCACTTCATGATGACAATGAATGGAATATAAGGTCCTTAATGATATTTTCTCATTTATTCTTTGCGTTTTACTTCAATGTGCATAAGAGAAGAGCGGAGTTAACGCATCAGTTGGAATAGATCTTAAATCTTTTAATGATAACTGTATTATCTTGTTCCTTTCTTGAAATTCTAACTTCAAATTTTATGACTTTCTTATGTGTAAATTTTCAGTGTGGTTGATGATTGCGAGGTGGGTGGTCCTGAAGCAAAAAGTTCAGGTAATTTAATGTCACATTCTAAAGTTTATATCGATAAATATGAAGTCTTTCTGATTGATAGGGACCTAAGCAAGCATGAGAAACCCAATCTTGAAAAATAACTTGTGAATAGAAAAAACCATGCCGCTTAGGTGCCACAAGAAGTATTTGTGACTACATGATGTGGGACTGCTTTCTTTTTAAGATAAAATGTAATGTAAGGTTTCTAGATGATTGAAGAAATCGTAAGTGTTCACACCTACATATTTGCATTGTCTATACTTTTTTCGGGACTTATATTTCATCAACCGTTTTTTATGCTGACCTTGTTGATGTTGGTCATGGTCTGTTGAACTATGTGGAGAAATTTTATTCTGACCCTCTCTCACAAGTGACCATATCCGAGTTCATTGGGCTTCGATTTCGATCATTTTTCAAGTGGGCCCAAATGAATTCAGATGCAACCATATTTCCGTTCCGATGGTTGTGATAGTCAAAATTGGTGTTAGTAGTAATAGTTTTACGGTCTAGTTCAAAACTCCATCATTTAAAAAAAGGAATGCCTTGGTTTACTAGTTGTCATCTTTTTTACTTTATTAAAGAAAAAATAGTTTTCCGGTTTCTGCTTGCCTTTTAATATACATCTGTGTGATTTCTGTTGATCATACGGATTGGCAAAATGCATTGGCGAACAGGAATTTTTTTTGCATCATCTATGTGTAGTTATTTGTTTAAATTTGTGGCCTCTCAAAAATCTGTCCATGCATTGCAGATGCCCTGCCAGAAGGTCTCACTCGCGAGCTCCCAAGTGCGGACGAGTTTAATAATTTGTCTGCTCCTGGAGCCCCCATCATTGACAACGATGACCTTGAAGATCTCCGAAGGCAACTTGAAGCCATTAATTCTGCATAGCTCCAATTATAGATTTTTTCTCTCTCTCTTTTTAATATTTGAAAATTGTTAACTTTTTTTGGTTTAGAATCCAGCAATCAGATTTTTTTTTAAAAAAAAGGATTCATTTCTTTACACCTTTACAGTTTTGTTGATCTCCTCTTCTTGCTTTTTACTGTGTTATTTTACTCAACGTCTCTCAAAATGCATCTTTTACATTTTTTTCCTATGAATCTTATTTGACTGCGGGCCGAAACCATATCTAAGTACAATTATTATACCATGAGAACATGAAAAGAACCTGTTCCTACCAAGTTGGTTTCCGCAAGTCTGACATGTTCTCCTTATTGTAGTTGTGAGCATAGCACTTGGCTTGCTTAACTCGACAGAAACTCAATGTTGACTGATGACTTTAACGATGGGTTGCCGGTTCAGTTTTCTCATTGTTTATGTCATGCTATAGGAACTCACGTGCTGTTGAATTTGATGATCAAGGAAGCAAAACAATTGTACTTGGCTGAGACTTGAACCAGCATGCAAGATAGGATTCATAAGGAGATAGAAATTGCGAAGGCAAGGCGATTGCTAGCAAAGAGAGAGGATGGCAGGCAAACGGCATCTCTATCTTTAGTATCAAATTTTTGCTTGGGGTCTATAAAATCGTAATCTATATCAGCATAAAGTTCATTATGCACAACACAGAACAAGGCCAACGATCGGATCGCATTCATTGTAAGAAGCAAGCAATGGTCACAAATTGCGGTCGAAGACGACAATAGTTATGCTTTTGCACATTCAATGAAAGAGACGAAACCCCCAAAAGAGGGAAAAAAGAAAAAGAAAAAGAAGTTCCCTCACCAGTCATCAGAGCCAGGGATTGAAAAAACCTCAGCAGTGGATCTAATAATGAAGACATATTTGGATTTCGGATGGAAGATAAAAGGAATGAAATTAGATTAGTTTCTCGTGCTCTATAAGGTTTAAAAATCAAAGCGATCGAAAAAGTAAGATACAAGGAGAAAGGCATCCCTCCCCTTCTCTCCTGGAATCTAAGCAGGCACGGCAACACTTGTTTGGCCCTCAATGCAATGCTTAAACACAAATTGAGGGAGTGATGTAGGAGACTTTAGGACAATTATCCATTCATGATGGCCTCCAACTAAGCTCTTGTGTGACATTGTTCCTTGGGACCCAACTTCGTGAACCCCAAAGTCCTTTCTTTAGAGGCAGGATGGTTTGGGTACCTTTTGCCAGTTGTAGCACAGGGGCCATAAGGGTGGGTTCCCCTTATATATATGGTTTTACTTTTTAACTTTTCGTCACGACGGACGCGAAAAGCATCCCGTTCCTTCTTTTTGTTTCTTTGTAAAACTACTTCCCTGGTCCCTTTTCTGTGTCTTCCTATAACATAAATGCAACTTCCGGAATTCATTCATTTATTTATACGCTTCTTTATACAAGAATACACCCTACTGAAACATCCGTAAGCTTTAATGCAATCGATTGAGCTTCTTTAAATTTTCAACTAGCAAATAAACCGCATCATTAATCACTTTCTGACACTTTAAACGTAGAACGGTTTAATCGCGATGAAGCATGGCGATCCTGTCAAAAATTTGGAAGCCCAGATGAAGTTTGAAAGCTTCATCACTTTCGGACAATCTAACAAAAATGAAGTCTGTCATGTGTCTGAATAAAAAGATTGACAAATGACAAGGAAAAGGAAAAAGGAAAGAATATGATAGTGTCGTTGAAAATTTGAGCGTAAATTTAGAGCCACATGTTGCCAAAAGACAGCATTTTTCTCCCTCGCAGGGTTGGAAACACTGGGACGATTTTTTTCAGAAGGAAAATGTAGTTTTCGGTTGGGCACTTGGGAAAAGATGAGAAATACATGCTTGATTTATTTATGCATAAATTTAGAGAAACTGACATCAACTAAGTGGAGATGGCCGAGTTGGTCTAAGGCGCCAGATTAAGGTTCTGGTCCGAAAGGGCGTGGGTTCAAATCCCACTCTCCACAATGGTTTTTTGGTTTATATCTTTGACTTCAGCGTTTTTTATTGCGGAGCTGGATGGAATGAACGGGTGAAAGAGAGAGCAGAAGGAGAAGAGGAGATAATGGACAGTCACATGTCGTGGTTATTGTTTTGTTCTAAGAAGATGGAAGAGAGAGAGAGGGGGGTCCCACCAGAAGGATGAGACTCCCACGTGCCGGCCCTGCTCCCATGGCCGACAACCTTTGCCCTACCCTTTGTAAAGCCAATCTCTCCCATTCCCTCCTTACCACCCCAATTTTCTCTTTCTACCATCCTCCATCCCTCCTCCAGCTCCCCCACCCCAACTCGATGGATCTTTATTAAATTTTATTAAAAATATTTTAATCCCTGTTCTATTATACAAATCCATCCAAACTCCCCTGACATGAAAATTAAATCACACAGCTATCCGCTAATTGTTGTTATGATATTCAAATATTATTCTATTTTGAGAGGAACTTTTGTATATTTATATATTTTAAAAATGGAAAGGAAGATTAAGTTTAATTCATACTTTTTTTTTAATTTTTTATTTTAATCCATCTATTTTAAAATTACAATATATTTATATAATTTTAATAAACTTTTAATGTATTTTTATTAATTTTAAAAATGAAAATATGTATGTTTATAAAGAAAAAAGGTTAGCCATAATTCAACAAACAAAGTAAACAATGTAAGCCATGTAAGACTATATGAGGAAACACATAGTTAGAAGTAGTGATTAAAAAATCAGATCAGATCAGACAATTGAACTGGTCCAATTTTAGCTCAATCAATATGAAAAATCATTTTGGGGTTGAGTTGGTTTGAATCATCTTGGATCGACAATAAAACTGAAAACTGAATTTGATTTTTAAAAATTGAACTATTAAATTTTTTTATTTTCTATCAATTTTTTAAAATAAATAACCATTTTTTAATCATTTAATATTATGTTTATTGTGTAGTTTTGTTAAATCATGATAAATTTAAAAATTTGATTTTATTTTTAAGTTAAATAATAAATTTATATTTTTTTATATGTTATTATTATGCATATATAATTTTTTCCTTTATTATTATGTCATTGGTTTGACTATGTGATAAAACCCTAATTAAATCATGGAAATCATAAATTGCTAACTTTTTTGATTCATTATCTGATCCGATTCTAAAAAATTGGTTAGAAGTCCCAAGCCACAATAGCCATTGAGATTACTCCCTCCAATTTCAAATATGATTATTTTTAATTGTCTCATCAAAAAACTCAAATTATGAAAATTAGTTGGAAATGAAATGAATTTTTTATTTACTCGTATTTAATTTAAAAAATACTAATTTAAAATGAAATTAATATTTCATCTTTGCTTTGGTTTTCGATTAATACCCCATCTTTTACTCTTAAAAGTTTAAAATAAGGGTAATTGAAAAAAACTAATTAACATTTCACCAAAGGCAAAAATGAACAATACATAGGAACAGAAAAAGTAGCTTAGAATGAAATGGATGTCCAAGTTTAAAACCATCGTCGTAAAAAAAAAAAAAAACAATTATACTTAATTTTAATTTATTTGTTAAATCGGTTAAATTGTTAAGTACTCTCGTTGCCAGCGCACGTGCGACGTTAATTATTACACACCCACACAACCCTCGCATATCTCCCCCGAAAAAGGAAAAGTCAAAATTTCTTTACAAACTCAGAACAATTTAATAAAGACATAGTTGCACAAACTTTTCGCTCATTCCCCGCAATAACACGATCCGTTATTGCCCTTTTTCCTTGCCTTTCCTTGTAACGGAATTTCCCGCCGTTCAAATTCTTCACCAACTCCTTTTCCCTATAATACCCTTGATCTCATCCGCTCTCGACAGCAGAGGAATGATTCATCTTCGGCCTACCAGGGCTACACACGTCATTTCTTCACCCTGGAGTTGTTTATATATACTACGGGGCTTAACCATCCAAAGCCCACGGGCATACGCAAAACCCTTCTTCGTCGTCTCTTCTTCGACCTGTCCTCTCTCTCGTCTCTCTCGCCTCTCTCTCCTCTCTCTCGCTCTCTCTCTCTCCTCTCCTCTCTCTCTGTGTTTGATATGGAAGAAAACGACCAAAAGGAACTCGAGCTTCTGCCTTCTTCGCACACTGTAGCATCGGCATCTCGCTTGGCCTCCGATAATTCTTCTCTGCTGCGGTTCCGATCGACGGTGTCGTCCTCGGAAGGGACGCCGTCTCTGGATTTACAGTTGTCGATCAGCGTGAGGCCGATGATAAGACCGTCGTCGGACTGCGCTTACAAGGAGGAGAGGAGTTCGTGCGTGGAGGCGTTGAAGTGGGAGGCGGCGGAGCAGATACGGGTGGCGGCGATGGAGAAGGCGTACGCGGAGAGGGTGAGGGAGCTGACGAGGAGGGAGATGGAGATGGCGCAATCGGAGTTCTCACGCGCGAGGCAAATGTGGGAGAGGGCCAGAGAAGAGGTTGAGAGAGCCGAGAGAATGAAAGAGAGAGCCACTAGACAAACTGATTCTACGTGCATGGAGATCACTTGCCAATCCTGCAGGCAAAGGTTCAGGCCTTAATCTGCTTCCAAACGCTTCCACTATTGCTTCAACTTATAATTAACTGCTTGATTTCAATATTTGAATCCTGTTCTCACTCAATTAGCTTCTGTTCTTCTTCTTCTTAAATTTTCTAATTTCTAATAAATTAATAAAACCAAAAATAAAGATTAATTCCTCTTTTCTTTCCTTTTAATCTAGTTGATGGATGATATATAGGGGTTTAGATGTAGCTGGTTGAGTTATATATGTGGGTAAAAACCAGTTCTCGAAGAATTACGTGGTGTTCTCGGATAAGAAGAGAGGAAACTACATCTTGTAATTAACAGTACTATTTGGATACTGGGGATTAGATCAATATATATGCATCCGAACTTCCAAAAACAATCATATATGCTAGATTCGTTTCTTCCCTTCAAGTAGATGTATTAAGCATCTTTTGCAGTCCAAAGTCGGGAAAATAATTCACCCAGTTAATCAATTATTCTTTATAGCAAAACATGGAAACTAAAAATTACCAACCAGAACATTTCTCTAAAAAGTAACCGCGAGAAGATTATGAAGATCAAAGTAGTTAATTCCCTTTATTTATACAATTCTGAAGTACTGAAGCAATATTGAAGATGATGATGTGTTGGAGCGCTGTTGTTTTGATGGATTCTTCAGAATCAAAGAAATGATAGTATTCATGTACCGTAAACTTTACTAAATTATGGCTTTTGGGCTGCAAGAATATACCATCAGAACTTTTGCAGGTAAATTAATTGCGGGGGGAAAGGTTGCCAAAAAGAAGACATATCAATTTTCAATAAAAATGATCATATGATGACGACTGTAAAATATTCTCTTTTCTTTGGCCTTGGATCTAGGTTTATCATGAGATCATTTGAGGGATTAGATTCTCTCTCACACGCAGATATTAAAATAATCAACAATTAATAAAAGAAAACACGCTTATTATTTGTAACAAATTAAAATTCTGATGATATCTATCCAAGCGCTTCTCATGCTATATATGGATAAGAAGTAAGATAACCTCGTAAGTCGTACAACTATATCCCGCGGATATAGTAATGTATATATTCTTCACATATACGCTGCGGAAACTGAAGAAGAATGATGAAATGGTGGTGTCAAGAGGAGTCAGCAAAAATGGGTGAATTGAATTACACAAGGGGGCGCGGGGTCAAGTTGGGAAGTCAGTGATGACGATAGAACAAATGAATCAGAACAAAAAGCAAGTATAGCACTAATAACAAGACACTGTACATTTAGCCGTATCTGTTTGTATTCAACTCGTTAACTTTTGCTCATCACACACCAAACACCCACGATCCATGTCTGCCTTCCGCACAAAAGGAAAAAAAGAAATTAGGATTCTCATTTATCGGATAAAAGGATATATATATATATATATATATTGCCGATCGACTGAGTCAGACGAGAAAAGCATGAATCAGTGAACAGTGTTATTTGCGGAGTCGGGTCAGGGATTGATCCTTTGAAAGGCGTCATTCAAGAAGCGGGTGTTGTAAACACATAATACTCAGATACAGTTAAGCTGTGAGGGGGTGGTGGTGGCACAACACAATAATAATACAGCGACCCGCAATGAATCTATTATTATGAGACTGAAAACAATATCTGGTGGGGGCAGATCTTTAGACTTTTGAGAAAAAGTACATTTCAGAAACACAAAGGGGGATGGCGCGAGGTCGCAATCTTCCCGAGTTTACCAGCTTGGTAACGTACCCTCCCTCCCCTGTGTGTGTGTGTTTGCGATGTCTAATTGGGCAACATCCCAACAACATTATGTTCTACCACTCCCAACTACTTGCTTTCAAACCACGTTTCTCCCCGTACGTCCCTTTACAATAACGATGCTTCCTCTTTGTTGTTACATTCCCGTTCCCTCTCCTTCTCCTGGCACACTTCTTTCTCCTCAACCAACCATGGACTTCATCTCCAACTTCTCCCTTTCTTAATTATTTTTACCCATAATATCATGCCTCTAATATTTCAACTTCAGTTTCTTAAAATGTTATATGTAATCATCAACGCTACTACGATTATTCATTCTTGTTCTAGTTTTATAAGATTTTGAATATAAATGTTTTTCGAATGAGAGAAACAATGACGATAATTAATTAATCCCGACTTAGCTTTCATGTCAAGCCCTACATGAGGATATATATAGACTATCTTAGCTAGCTTATATATTATTTCACATATATTAATTAAAGGCGATTGAAGATTTGAATTGTATGAGGATTTCCTTTCACCCGTCCCCTACCCTTTCGTATGTTGAGGAATCATCAGCATCGCTAGTTGTCCTGAAAATCAAAGCTGTTTTTTCCCAGCGCTTCCACTTTACTCTTTTGCCCTCATGAAATGTGTAAAGGCACAGTTCCTCTGATGAATCCAAATGAGTGCCCTTCCATGTGTTGTACCGCCTAATCAACGCCCAGCTATGCATTCATAATGGTTCCGTACGTGAGCCACAAACGAGTCATCCGAAATCCAATCAAAATTATTATACCATGCCAGAAACACATCCCATATATATTCCTGATGATATGATGTATATTCATATGATTAAGAAAACAAGTCATATCCCTGTGTGCCGCGACAGGTGATGATCGGTTGGATTACAGTTATATAATGTCTTTTATCATTTATTTGGTTGTGATCATGGAGAATTAATTAAGAAGAAGATCAGGCGAATCAACTTGCTTGTGAGGGTCGAAAGCTTTGAAAAAGATGGATGTAGGACATGTTGAGGGGAGGCATCAAACCAAAGGGGTCCTTGTGATAAAACCTTAACATTTGTCTTTTCGGGTTGTCCGCTTGTGACAGTCAAGTGATACTATTCCTTCGTGGGATCCCCGACCTGTTGCTGCGCAGGGTCATACTCATTCATTCATGTGTGTATTTGGACATCTCGCGATGCTTACATGCACACACAGACACACATCACCAACACATGCCAGGATTTATCCTTCCAACCCATTATTTCATAGTTAATAGCCGAGACAACCGGATCTTCATCTATTTCGCAGGGATATGCATCTCCAACATCCGTACTTATTATTTCCTAAATTTACTTATGCCAGACAAGCTCTATGTCTGGCACGTATACAAACTAATATCAAATCAATACAGTTATATATATTTATAGCAAAATGCTAATCATAAAAACAATATTATAGCTGGAGACGGGAAAAAACTGCTCCCCGCACGTTTCTTTTTATTATTATTATTATTATTATTATTACTATTACTATTATTTTAAATGATCGCAGTTGATAAACCATAACTTGAAACTTAACAGAAGCTATTGTGAATCCTTTCTCCATCAATGGATGGGTTAGCTACGACTCTGGTTCAAGTTTTTGTTGTGTGCGTCAAAAGGGTATGTGTGTTAAAGTACCACGTTGATTAAATAAAGGACTCTCCTAGTGTATATATACTAAGAAATGAAATAAATTAATGAAATGGGTTTGGAGAAAAAGTGATCTTGTGCACATGAGACAATTTGATTTACCTCCTTTGCGCATAAGTTTAAAAAGCAATGAGGTCTTTTTTACTGGGCTATTTTTATAAAAATAATAAAATAATTATTAGCTTCCACAAATTACAAAAATAATTAAATAAATAATTATTTTTAGCTTCCTCGAAAAACCTTTTTTGTTGTTTCAAATTTAAACTTTAAGCCTTGGCAATTTTTGGGCATTAAACCACTTTTGAAAACCATTTTTGTAAGTTAATGTCTTAAACGTTTTTGTCTGCCAACGTCTCTAAATTAATCGATTTTGTGAATTAATATCTTAAATGTTTTGCCTCCCCAACATTTCCAGACAAAAGCTTAACTGTGATTTACGTCTGTGTCCTAAACAAGTGTTTAAACGTGATTTATGAGAGTATAACTGAAGCTTTAATTTGGTAATTACGGGCCAACATTCATGTCTCCATTGTTGGGATATATATAGTCATGGGTGCAGACAAAGCAAGTAACCAGCCTCTTGAGTTTTCAGGGCAATTCTCTCTTCCCTCTGCCTTCTACTCTCATGTTCATTTGTGTTTGCTTTTTAGTCTCTGTTGTTCTGTTTTCCTACTTTGCAAGAAGTGCTTGTTTAATTTTGAGAAATTGTCGGTCCGTCAGAGATATGGTGGAATAGTTCTTAAAGACAATGTCATTTCGAGCACGACTCAAACAATTCGTAATTCACCTTTCACATCTATCATTGATGCCGCCAACAGTTTTAGCAACCAACAACAAAGGGAAGAGCAAGGAAAATCTTTTTCTTTTTCCTTTTAGTGTCAACATTGTATTATTATTATAACCATGCTTTGACCTCTTCATAACCCTCTTAAAAAGGACATATCAATTTTCATATGTATGCCTGAAGATCCTTTGCTACTGTGCTACATTATAGGGCAACGATTAATTTAAAATGTAATTTCATACATATTTAGATGGTTTAAATCTTAATTTTAATTATCTTTTTTCACGATTCTAATCTAATAGATTTTTAAAAAATATTCTCGTTTAAATAAAATTTAGAGCGATCTGAATTCAAACAAATTAAACACTCTGAATAATAAATTATGGTTCAAGTTAAATAAAGGAAACAGATTAAATTAAGTATCTCAATTCTTGTCGTATTACGATTTATCATCAGTTGCATGTTTGGAGAAAGTTATCATCATTTCAGCGGGTGAAAAAAGTGATGACTATGATCACTGATGAGCACCACATACACCTTTAATTTTTCTTTTCTTTTCTTTTCTCGGTTCTGTAACATTTTTTTTTTTCTTGGTTCCTGAACTACAATGAAATGAGCAAATATCGAGCATTAAATTAAAATGAAGGAAATAAAAGGAGAATTAAACGGAGTGATCGATGTAGCATGTATATATAGGTGAAGTTAGTGAGAAGGCAGTGCTATTGCCTCGAGAACCAGTAAGAAGTATACATCTATTACGTAGACAAAATGAAGGATTGCGGGGGAGAGCTGGGTGATTGGGAGGACGTTGTGACAGTAGCCGAGCGATGATTCTGGAGAAATCCAGTCAGAGAGGAAAAAGAATAATATAGAGAGGGATCAGTGCTGGCTCATCAAGTGTCATGGGAAGATCGGATTCAGGTGATAATATAAAAGGATGGAACAGTT